CCTGGAACTGGCCTTGATGAAGCAGCAGAACCAAACACCACGGATGCATCAGGGAGAGGATCAGGACCTCTTCTGTGGCAACTGCTGAGAAGTTCTGCGTAATTGATGGAGTCTCTGGATGAGTCAAATTACCCTCCATGGACATATCTGAAAAGACATCTGGAGAGTCCTGTGCAATAGGTGTTATAGAACCTGGAGTTTGTTTCAGGGCAGTGCCTGGTGTGGAAGTGAGGCTGCCACCGCAGATAGTAGATACTGAGCTGCCACCCAAAGATCCATGAGTGTTAGAAGAAAGTGTCCTGAAGACGCCAATAGTAGGCTGTAATGGAGTATACTTCATCATACGAAAACCAGCAGATTTCTTGTTTCCTCCAATTGGAGAGCGGATGAAGGATTCAAAATCCTCACCTTCTTCAAACACTTCTGCTGGAAAAGCTGGATTATTTTTAGAAACATTGACACTTTGGTCCGATTGTAAAGAGGGCCCACTGCCTGACAAAGAATTTTCAACTGCACTACTTCCATAAACATATGAACCATCCATAACTGCTGTTTTTTTCTCATTGTTAGATCCAAAAGCACCAACAACAGGGAATGAGGTGCTCATTTCCAAACTATTATCAACAACATCCATGTCCTCAGCACCTTTGGTTCCTTTCTCAAAAGTAACACTCAAGCGACCCCCGGTTTCACTTCTGCCAGACCTGTCTCCTTTTGTGACTGCTAGCAATGGAGACAACCCAGCTTTCTTCTCCGTCTCCCCAATCATGACTCCTTTGACAGCGCTAAAGGGCATGTTGCTTCTTACTGGGGTAAATGCTGATGTTGCTGGGGCAGCGATTGGTGCTGATGCTGCCAGCAGGTGGAGCCAGCGAAGTCTTCTCAAAGCCACTTGGAAGTAGTTACTGTAGACATCTGAAAGAAAAAAAATAACAGTATTTATTTACAAGGAACTGAATTTCACCCACTTTTCTATTATCTCCATCTGCCTTTGAATAAAGCATAGGTCTCCAACCAACTCATGCCAAACTCTTTGCAGACTAGCCCATGATTGTTGAACTGTGTCTCTATGGGACAAGGTATTTCAACTTTCCTTAGTTGCTCCTATGACACGCAAAACTGGCTACAGTGAGACTATCTTTCGCTTCTTTTAGGAGCCCTAATATCTTCACTCCTATACCATCATAATCTGCATATGTGAATTTGGGTTTGGAGTAACATTTTTGAGGGGGGAGGGGGGGGGGCAAGGGCATCCAGTCTATCAGACATTAGCAGAATCTAGCCAGAGATGACCACCACTTACTTGATCGGCACAGACAGGTCATCATTCTGTGCCTCAGAACAAGCCATAACAAATTTAACAAGCATATACACAGGCTTCGTCTAAGTAGTTCAGCTTTGTGCCCTTGTGGGCTATGTGTGTGCAGACCACAGAACAGGTCCTGTAAGAATGACCCTTGTTCAGTCCATTAAGAAGGGAATACCTGTCCAAAGAGTTAAGACCATACTCAAAGTTGTATGGAACTAAAAGGGAACTAAAAAAACATTCTCACAATAATTCATCTGTTGCTGTAAATCAGAGAGCGATCACAAGATGGGTTGTGAGTAATTTTGATTAGATTTCAGTTTATATGAAGGGAATTTGGCAGCATTTGCATTTATTACAACAACAGTATGAGCTTTGACTGTTGAGAGAGAAATGGCAAACTAGTGAATGAAAAATTGCCTAGAAAGACCATGAACAGCCAACTTATGCGAGGGTTAGTCGTGGCATCCTGTAAAACATATGAAACATAGCCTCATATTGAAATAAATTACTACAGGGGAAATTTGACTTAGGGACATTCTTGTGCATTTCTAGCCATCACCACTGTGTTATCTGCATTAAGTTAGTTGTGTATCCTATACAGGAAGTTGCAGACCCAACCACAGCATGTTTTGGCTGTTGTGATTTTTATAGGCAAATTTTAGGTTCAGTAATTTTCCCTTAACCTGTGTGTCACCGAGGCTCTCATGGGAAGCAAAGAATAGTAACACTGCACCCAACCAGGCATGTTGTAAGCGGCGACTAAGGGTAGGGTTGGGCTTAAGGTTGGCTACCCCATCCTGTCAAAACAATAGCCACAAAAAGCAACCAACCATGGATAAGTCAAAAAGAGAAGCAAGAAAAACCAAGGCAACCATGATGGTGGTGGGTGGGGGGGGGGTGGAGCTCTCTAGGACCCAAAAAAAAACACATGGAGAAGGGAGTTAGAGAGTAAAGTTAAACAGACAGGGAGGACATGGGAAGAGCTGCATACGACAGAACGACTTGGCGTGAGTTGGTTAAGGGCCTGTGCTCCATTGGGGGTTAGAAGGCAGAAGAAGTTTTCCACAGCTACTGAACAGTCAACTCTCGATACCACTGTCGAATCTGATGCAAGACATTCTGCTGCCAAATCGCCTGCAGCTGGGATCGAACCTGGCACTGAGCCACTGAAGCCAACAGAGGTACTTATAACCTCAGATCTCTATTCTTGGTCATTTTTGTCTCTCTCGTAATTAATTTTACCCCAATATGTATTCTTGATCAACTTTGGTCTCTACATCATTATTTCAATGACAATCTTCTTCTAGTCTATGCTGTGCAGAGTTGATAGTCATATCTTTCCAGTTTTCTGTCTCATATTCTTTCAGTCAGTTGTGACAAAGATGATCTTCCATACCATAAACTGTCCAGCACCTTCTCTTGTGGTCTCCCTCTACCCACCTCCCCTTTTCCAACTTTCTCACTGTTACAATGTACACCAGTTTTCTCCTTCTCGTGACATGGCTAAAGAATGTAGATTGTCTCCTTCTAATGTGGGCTTTCTGACTGTCAACTTACTCTTTGTTATAAGCATCACAAATTATATACCATGAAAGGCAAAGGCATGAATAGCAGCTATGGCCTTCATACATTCTTAATCATGTCATATGAGTGAAATGTTTAGCGATAGGCCTCTATATATTATATATTCTAACCATTGACCCGGCTGCTACAAAATATCAGCTAAGTGATTTTGTGTATTTGTGTGGTATTGTTTGATTTGTATGTGCTGAAGCAATGTCGCAATGTTCACATTTTTTTTTGTATTTGTTATATTATGAAGCTTGCTAATATACTTTCCGTTCGGTTTTATATCTTTTCTATATATTCTAGACCCTGTCATGTAAGTTAGAAAGTCAATGATAGGCCTCTACATATTTTAGACCCTGTCATGCAAGGTGGATAGTCAGTTCCCTTCCTCCCTGAGTGGGTTCTGGTGCAACATTGTGCGGGAAAACAAGAACAGACCCACTGCCTGCCTAAGAAGTATATCGTATGAGTTAACTAACTGGGGGGCATCCTCCGAAGTCGGAGTACATCTGCCTGAGAGGCAAGGAACCGAGTCTGCATACAAAATAAGCCACAGCTGTGAAATATATGTGCACGCAACACTCAGGTTCTGGAAAACAAGACTCCAGCTCTCCTTTAAATAACAGTTGCTAGCTGGAAGCTGACGGCCGCTTAGTCGGAGTTCAGTCCCCTGGCTGCAGTGCAATTACGGAGTGGAAAAGGGGGAACGAAACAAATGTGGTCGTTACCTGTCATCCTAGGGTTAGGCTTAGGGTTAGGATTTGGGGTAGGGTTAGGGGTAGGGTTAGGGTGTGGGGTAAGGTTAGGGTTAGGATATGGGCTAGGGTTAGGGTGTGGGGTAAGGTTAGGGTTAGGCTTAGGGTTAGGATTTGGGGTACGGTTAGGGGTAGGGTTAGGGTGTGGGGTAAGGTTAGGGTTAGGGTTAGGATTTGGGGTACGGTTAGGGGTAGGGTTAGGGTGTGGGGTAAGGTTAGGGTTAGGCTTAGGGTTAGGATTTGGGGTACGGTTAGGGGTAGGGTTAGGGTGTGGGGTAAGGTTAGGGTTAGGATTTGGGGTACAGTTAGGGGTAGGGTTAGGGTGTGGGGTAAGGTTAGGGTTAGGGTTAGGGTATGGGGTAGGGTAAGGTTTAGGGTAACACATCACGGAAACCACGCAAGCTTATCGCTCATTACGACATACAGATCCGCAGGTCTCACATCTACGGTCACTAAGTCTTGCGTCGGAAGAACGGATTCGCTAATTTGTGTCGCAGCGCATGGTCTACGAGAGTCTTGCGTCTCAAGAACGCAGTCGCTAAAGTCAGTCGCAGCGCGTGGTCTAGCTCTAGCAGCCATGTCGACCTCACTTTGTTTTTTGATTCGTGTCTTGTCCAGTCCGTAATTGCACTGCAGCCAGGAGAGTGAACTCTGACTAAGCGGCCGTCGACGTCCAACTAGCGAACGTTATTTAAAGGAGAACCAAGACTCCAGACAATACTCAGAACATTCTAGAAATAGCCTGGTACCTGCATTTATGATGCTGGGTCGACCAAAGAGCTGTGCAGGTCAGAAAAATCCTGCCCTTCTGGCTACTGAATTTGGAATAGTCTGAGAAGATTCTTCTTTGTCTGTGTTTGCTCTTAAAATGGTGGTTGGTACTTTATATTGTAGCTTAGTTGGTACTTTATATTGTGGCTTACAGCTAAGCTGTGATATTTGTGCTTTTCAGCCCAACACATCCAATTTCGGCAAACCCATAATTAGTTTTATTTCACGGTGGAGAGGGTCTAATTCCCAATCTCCCCTCACCCCTCCAAAAGATGGGCCATGAAACATAAGAATTTCCGCAGAAAAGCATACTAACTAATATGTCACCACAGTTGACTGATGCCATTTAAATTCCTTTTTGGAATATGTTATAATAAAGAAGAATGAGGATTGGCATCTTTCCGTCTTTCCAGATAATAGTGTTTATACTGCGCTATAAGGAGGCATGGGACTCCCAGCGCTATTCGATGGTGAGTGTGACTAGCAAGACCTACCCGTGTTAAGAAAGAAAAGTCTTCCACAATTATAGCATGGGATTTAAGGACCGTTGTTCTGTGTTTAGCCTGCTCTTAGATAAAGAAACATAAATCACTTTTTTAAAAAAAACCTTTAGAGAAAATAAAAGAGCGCATACCATATAAAAAAACAAAAGCTGCAGAAAAAGCCTCAGCACGGGCCTCGGAGTCCTCACTGCCACTGTTGATGGCATCAAAATGCTTCCAGAAGGCAGGGCTGACTTGTCTGCAGAGGTACTGCAGCAAAATCTCATGCAACCACTCCTCCAGGAGTTCGTACATCCCAGGTGCTCCCAGAAATAAGACTGCTTCTTTCAGCTCTTGGCAAGGCTGAACGACCGTCCATTGCACCTGACTGGGAGATGTGTCCTGCGGATTAATGTTTAAAAAGTTAATAATTAGTGAGGATTATCATCACAGCACTCCGGACAGTTCCAATCTTCTCCTCAAAAGCTCCATAAGCATGATAACTCCTGTTCTGTGTTGATTAATCACATGACTTGTCCCCTTGGTGAAATGTTCATTTCTTGCAGCTCCAGACTGCATCCTCATGTTTATCAACCTGGACAGGGTTACGGAGTCATGCCATGTGTAAGTGCTGCACACGGCATTACTAACATGGTTTCAGTCCAGTACCAGACCAGCCACAGCAATCATTTACCTTACAATTTTACAAAGTTAACTTCAAAAGTTAGGTAAAGGAACCCTTTTGGTCCTTCTGAAGCAAATTAAGCATACAGTAAGCAAACAAACAAGGACCCTTATTACATCAGTGATGCAAGGGACATATGATGTTAAGTTCACATTATTACAGGGCCATTGACACTCTATGGGCAAATCTCCCTCGGCTCCCGACCGTCCCCCAACTTTCCCACCCTTACAATATAGTTTTAAAAAATCAACTGTTCTATGGATTTGACCCCGATGATCATCAGGTTACATGTAAGTGTGCTACTAATGCACTACTGCAGTTTCCCTGTAAAAAGTTGAGTCTAGTAGATAGTTTTTATTTCTTAAACAAAACATATTTTTTGTGAAATTTAGAAAGCATATGTGAAAAGACATTTAAGATACAGCAGAAAATAACGGAGAAATAAATTATATAATATAATATTATCAAAAATTAAATGCCGGGGGAAAAAATTAATTAAAAGAAACAATATTATGATTGATGGTGCTGCAGGGCGTAAACAGGGGTTCCGACCAGTACTCAACCCTCGGAGAAAAGGCAAGATGGACATTTAACCAAACTGCTACTGCTACCACCAAAACTGGAACTGTGTGGGCTACTGAAGATGGGGAAAAACTGCTTATGTGAAACTCCCAAGAGCTGTGAAGGATCTAACTCTTTTAGTCCCAAGGAACACATCCTACGTTCATACCTAGAAGCCCAATTAACTCAAGATGCGCTGATTGTACATCTCTCTTTACTAACACTTGGGCCTCCAATGCCAAACCCCGACACTTAAAGAGCTAACTCGGCTCACCTCAGAAACTAAAAAAGACTAAACAGAAGAATTAGAAGCACCCCCAAAAAAAAATGTTAAAAAAAAAAAAAACAGAAACAGAAACATGCAACCCGAAATGACAACGATGGTGCAGTCTGGCAGAGATGATATCAACAGCAAAAAACATCCATTACATCCACTGTTTATTTCATCTTACACCTGCATGCCCTGGAAAGGGGGGAAAATGGGACGATGAAGAAGCAATTAGAAAGTTCAACAGGGACAATGGAGATGTGGATACGTATTGTTATATCACAGGAGAATTGTTTGTGAATCAAAAAAAATCAAAATCAAATACTGAGATTGTGCTGTGGAGGCTGTGCCCCGTGCATTGTTCTCGACAGCTGGCCAGCCAGTGTGCAGAGAAACATCAAACTAAATGGGGCAAAACCAAGTGCATTTATTCATAAAGTGCTGACTAAGAACTTGTGAGCTACCAGTCATTTGTTTAAATGTTAATTAGACCGTATCGCCTGAAATCAGCCTTTCTGCGTGATTCTGCCTTATCAATCTGCACAATACAGTATACATCTTGCCAGGCTCACTGGCAGATAACCCTAATTTATCAGTGTTTACTTAAGCCTCTGGAGACAACGCAGCCAAAATATCGGCTCAACGCAAAGTAGCCAGAAGGACGGCTGGGCCGATCGGTCAGCCCTGTGTAATACAGGCCTTGATATAGGCTAGCAGTTTTTCGCACCAGCCAATCAGACTGCTTCTCTTATTTCTTGCACATGTGGGCTGTTCACTGACGGCTTTCGAGAAAGTCTGATGTGTTCTGTGACTTTACATCAATTTTTTTCCGAGGTTACCTGTGCCCAAAAAATGGTGAAAAGGACTGTTGGGCTATCCTTCAAAAAACGGCCACATATTATGGCGCCCAAAAACACACCTTGACAGGGCCCCAATCAGATGTAAATTGTAGACTCCCTCCGCCGAACATATCGCGGCAAAACAAAGATTACTGTCCGTTGACAGTTTCGAGAAACGCAATAATACACACGATAATAGCGTGCTCCGACACAGGTTAGCAATAGTGTTCTTCCGATTAAACTCACCGCTGAGCGTATCCCCCATGCTGCTACGAGCGGCACGGATGGGAGGCTAAAGTAAATGGCTGGGACTCACGAGCAGCAGCTATTGCATCTCCTGCAACTTCCTCCAATTTATTTGCTTGTGAGTCCCAGCCATCTAGTTTAGCCCCCTATCCGCGCCGGGTGTAGCGGCGTGGTTGATACTCTCGGCGGTGAAAACTGCGTTACCAATGCGGCACCGATCATATTTAGCCGAGTTTCAATGGCGCCACAGAAACAAAGAGCAGATTTTCGGGCACTATTTGCAATTTCTGTGCCACTATTTTCAGATATAAACGTCTCAATTATCGCTTAGTAGTCGATTTCATAATTTTCCCCTTTTTTTTTTGTGTTCCACATTATTTTTTAGTTAGTTTTTTTATGTTAACAACACACGACCTAATGAGGTCCTGTCAGGGTGTGTATTAGTCGTAATAATATGTGGCCAATATTCGGAGGATAGCCAGACTGTTGCATCATAGCAACTGAAACATGGCTGGAGGCAGGAAAATTAGTAGAACTATGTGCCAGACGTGTCTGAAAGGCCTCCAAGGGCCTTACTTCCCAAAATACAAGTGTTAGGACATATTTAAGCTTCATCCATAAAAAAATTCACCCAAATTTTTCAATTTAGTTATGTTTGTTTCCAAGTTTGATCAAAATTTCTTCCATAAATTACGCAAATCAGAACAGTTAATTTGAATAAATGTTGAGATTTCAGTTTGATTCATAAATATTCTGTTCATTCAATTTCCTACACGAATATATATAGTTTTGCATTTGTAAATTAAACACTTTATTTTTTATAATTTATAACTTTTTGTGAATAAACTATGAGAATCCCCTCCTGAAGGCTCCGTCTTCTGTCTTCTTTGGCTCCGAAACTCTAAAAAATCTCCGTCACCAAAGAGTTAAAAATAGTGAGCTAGCAGCCATTTTTATGTGTTAATTAGGCCACACTGCATAATACATATTTAAGGAATGCATATACAGTTAGATCTCACTGCCCTGATTGCAATGCTACATAGTTGCTAAGGGATTGGGTTAAAAAAAAAATAGTTATCTCCATTAAAAAAATGCAAACATTTAGTAGTTTGAACTAGGGCTGTACCGAATATTCGCTTCGTATTCGCTTCGGGGCCGAATAGTGGACCCAATAACTATTCGATATTCAGCCAAATAGTTGCGGTCGGGCCGAATACGAATAGTGGTTACCTCACAACCGTTTCTGGACTGGTGGAAAAACAACATCAAGACTTCCCACCTTGGTTTATACTGTGAAGCGTTATCTTTGTGCACCACAATGATGATGATAGTGTTGTTGGCTTGATTTCTTTGAGTGGAGTGTCCTCTTCGTTGATTCTTTGAAGTAACGGGAGTTCGTCATAATTTATGGGTGTCATATCTGTTCTTTCGTCGTCTCGTGGAAACGGCAGCGGCTGAATGTTTTGATCGACGTTCGGATTATTTGATTGTCTTTGTTGTTTGATCTTCTGGCGTTGGCCGCCCGGCGTCTGGTTTCGTGAGCTCGCGGGGGGGGGCTGGGCGACTTGTAAGGACGGCACTGTTTTCTTCGTCAGCGTTATTTTTGTTTTTTATGTTTCGCCTTGCGGGTTTTCATTTTGACTCTCTGTATTTGTCGTATTTTCCTGTTTAGTACAGCTGGAAATACTTTCAGCGAGACAAAAAGCTGGCCTAATGCTGACAACATGAAACGAAGGTTTTTCATGGAGGTGTGTCAGCACACGAACTAATACGTGCTGCAGGAGATCGCAGATTGTGGCGAGACATAATCGCCCATGCCAGCCGGCAAAGCACATGATGATGATGATTCACTATTCGTATTCATACTCGGCCGAATAGTTGGTCCAGCTATTCGTATTCGGCCGAATAGTGAAAATCACTATTCGGTACAGCCCTAGTTTGAACCATATATTTTACTGAGACGCAGCTCGGAATCCACCTTTTGTCAGTATCTTTAGTGGTATCCGATATTAAAATGTTATTAGTTAATATCTCCGCTTAAAATTGGCTTACATACTTTACTGAGGTATTGTTGGACTGGATATTTTCATCTCTATCCAGAGCTGTGATGGCTTCACTAAGTAAAAACAATTTATTTAAAACTTTGGCTATCCTCTGAATAACGGGCACAAAAGATGGTGGCCAAAAACAGGGCCTCAGTCACGTGTCAATTGCGCACTTCCGGCGACGTTATTTGCGGTTTTCCGGTGACTACAGCCACTGCCGAGAGTATCCCCCACGCGCTCATGCGGCATGGATTGGGGTTAAACTAGATGGCTAGGACTCACGAGCAAAGCTGAAGGAGATGCGGAAGCTGCTGCTTGAGAGTCCCAGCCATCTAGTTTAGCTCCGGAAAACCACAAATTCGTCACGGGAAGTGCGCAATTGACATGTGACTGAGGCTCTGTAAGGGTGTTTTTGCGGCCGCTATCTTTTTGCCCGTTATTTATTCGTAGGATAGCCAAAACTTCACTAGCATCCCTACATTGTGAGCTTATGGTGGTTTCCGCTACTAAAAGTTTAATAGATCTCTGCTTAGATTTGACTAACAGGCTTCACCAAGGTATCAGGTATCGCTGGGTATTTTAATCTTTATCTAGCTGTGATGGTTTCATAAGTAAACTACTAGTCTACTAGTAGTAGTAGTAGAACACTGAGTACACTACAGAGACACAGACAGGGAGCAGTGAGTACTCAAGTTCCGTTCTGTACTGGAAAATGTGATAAAGTCATATTCATTAATAAAAATAAAAATTATATAAAGCTAATGATTATCTCACTGTCCTGAACTGTTAATATTTGCTCCAAAAAATTCCACGAGCGGGCAATATCCATGACGTTAAATCCTGTCTTGTCTAACAGTGTCCGAGCTTTCTAAGTTTATAGGATGCCGCCATCTTCGTGGTGGCGAATTAAAAACTATAACCCTTCTTCTTTATAGCGTTTACTGGCTGTAAACTCCAGCGGAAAGAACTCTAGCATACCAATATAATTAATATGGTTAAGAACTCCGGCATAACAATACGGTTAAGAACTCCGGCTGTGAACTCCAGTGGTTGTTCATCCACTTTTTGACTTTGGTTTTGCTCTAGAAATCGAGTTTTGCGTGCACCCACGTTTGACATACATGTCTAAGACACTTGTGTATAGACTGTTGGTTCCTCGCCTCTCGGGCATATGCAGTCCGATTTCGAAGGAAATGTATTTTAGCGTCGTCCACAATTTTTTATAAGCCCCACGCCGTCAGTCATCGGGGGCCCTAATATAACCCAACGGTTGAACGGGGTTTCTGAGACGTGCATGGGGAATTCTATCCGAATGGTGACGCTTTGTGTCACTGGGTGTTAATAGCTGATTGTGCGTGTCCTGTTGGGGTTTACCAAACGTCACTACTCTCTCACTCAGGAAATATCGACCCCCATCAAACATCCACACTGGACCGGGTTACTTCGTAGCCGTTATGTGGTGCCCCTATATAACTGTGCTTTATGGCTATACATATAGGTCTAGCCCTATATGCCCAATACGGCTGTAGACATGGAAAAGATCCTTTACTTTTGATTGATGATTGGTTGACTGGCACCTTTCCTTATTTCCAGGCGATAGTGTTATATTGCAATATGAGGAGGCATGGGACTCACAGCCCATAGCGATGGCGAGTGTGACTAGCAAGACCCGCCCGCGTTAATCAATGATAGCATGGGAATTCAGGACCGTTGTTAACATTTGTATTCAGCATGGAGGGGAGAAAGGGGGTGAAAAGGGGGGGGGGGGGGGGTCAAACACTAATCCCCGTTCAAACAAACAAACAAAAAATTCAGGGAGGACCCTCAGCCCAATCCTTACTCCCCACACAGGCTAAAGGGAGTGGGTGCTTTATATCCCCATGTTAGGAAAGGAAAAATTGGGAGACAACCAACACACGCCCTTCCTGCGGTCACTCAGGTTCTTAAAAGCCCCCCCCCCCCCCTATTTTTTTAAAAAAGAAATTTATCTTTTAGAGTATTTTCGAATACCTTTCATATTATTTCTCCCCCTTCCGCCTGGCCCCATTTTTGGATGTCTCCGCTGCCTCCCTAACAAGCATGTCGTAAAAGGCAACTAATTAGGAATTTTTCCTTTGAAGTCAGAGTGCATCTGCATAAGCGGCGAGGAACCAACATTCCGCATACATCTGGACTTCATTCTTGTTCCAGAACATGAGTGTTGTGTGCACATCCGTTTTAAAGATCTGGCTTATTTGTATGCAGACTGTTGGTTTCTTGTCTGATTAGAGGCTTTTGTATGTATGGGTGAGTGTGTATGATCAGAGGCTTGTATATGTATGGGTGAGTGTGGATGATCAGAGGCTTTTTGATGTATGTGTGATTAGGTTCTAGTGTATGTATGGGTATCTAGGGATGTGTGGGTGTTTGTGACGTATGCGTGCGTGTGCGGATGCATGTATGTGTAAGTGTGCATATACATGATTTTGAGTGCATGTATGTGTACATATGAGTGTGGGTGCACGCATTTGTCTGTATAAGCATGACAGCATATATGTATTTGTATGAGGGTGTATATATGAGCATCTATGTATGTATGTATATATATGAGTGTAGATATGTCTGTATGGGAATGTAAGCGTGTACGTGTATATGATTGTTATATGATGTGTGTATGCATTATTTCTTTATGTATATTTTTATATAAACATAACATGCAGCTGTGGTCTGAAAGATGAGCGTGCATGACAGAGCTAAACGTAAGGCGGGCTTGCAGGACCAACTTGTAACCCTTTAAAAATAACACTTATTCATGCAGATGCACTGGTTTTGAAGGAAACACCTATTTAGTCATCTCTTGTTGTTCATCCATCACGAGTCATGAAGACGACTTTCATCCTAAGCAAGAGGATGAAAGTGACTTATGCAAGGACTTGGATTTAAGTGAGGAAGAGATGCCCAATTTGTCGACCTCACTCTCTCATCTGTGTCCATCTTGATCCAATGTCAAGATGACTGGAAATGGACATAGGTGCAGTGGATGACCAAGGCATCTTACGTGGCCTGCCTTGCTCGAAGCTCTCCACAGAGCCTGCTGGTAAACACCTTCTTGTCCGTCGAACCAATAAGAGGTTTCATCCGCCGAGCCCAGTCTGTGCATGCAGGGTAGGCATATCCCCATTCACCGAGTGGTTTAGAACCAGGTTGGCTACCCTCTCCTAGTTTAGCCAGCCCGTCAAAGCTGTTGCCCGGGGGGAAGGGGCCTCAAGGCATCTGAGCCTCCAGGTTCCGTTGTCTATGACCCCTTTTCACTTGCTATTCTTGTTTTTAGTTTGGTTATAGATACCGACTGACAAGGTGTGTTGTGGTTTACAGCTAGGCTGCAATAGTACGCCTGGGTCTATCAGCCCAACACATCTGATTTAAGGAAACTTATAATTAGTTGCATTTCATTACATGATTGATTGCGACCATGTGTCTGCCCCCTCCCCCCAATGAAGTCACTGAACCCACTCAGGGACAACCATAATATCTGCAGACAATTACAACAGTATTACTACTAGAAAGACAAGGTCCTCAATTCTGGCTGGCAGCTGGTCTAGTAGGGAAGCTCCGACAGGCAGACAGACTGAATCGGCAGCTTCTGCAGCATGCTTGGTTCAAAACCTAATGGTGTTACCTTTCCTTTGCAGTAAAGAAGGCAGGCCAAGTTAGGGATCAAGGTGAATGAGCAACACATAGTTTCTGCAATACTGTCCGGGTTTTTTGCTGGTGGTCTTGCTAGACACACTCGCCATCTCCACGAGCAGTGACTCCCATAGCACAACATAAAACAGTTGTCTGGAAGCCAGGAAAGATGTCCACTAATACAAGGCACTTTTCTGAAGGGACATCCTCTATGGTGAGTTACAAATGGATGGAGAGTGTCTGCCAAGATAAATATATGCGAGGATATAAATAAAGCAATATGTTACAACAGGAAAGAACAAAGAAAACCATCATAAGATGTACCTGTAAATAGTTTCATTTCCATTTATTTTATAAAAACAAAAAAGTTAACATTAGCTCAATGGGCATGCTTGCTTTTCTCTTCCACCCTCACATGTACAGAAACATCAGTTTTGTTTTAATTTAATACACACAGAAGAACAAAGACCTTCCACACTCTGAGGGGGTAATAAGAATGATAAGGCTACTTCTGACTTACTGAACTAATGATAATGAGGCTAGTCAAGTCTTACTGGCTATTCCCCATACAGTTGGAGTTTTTTTCCTGCAATAGTTAATGAAACAAATAATATTTTTGCAAAAACTTTTGGGACTGAAAGAGTTATTCAACTAAAGGTGTACAGAATATCTTTAGATGCAAGAATAAACGAATATGGTGTCCTCTGGGTTGAATACATATACTGTGGAAATATTATTGTATTGCCCTGAGTATGAACCTGAAGAAGAACTGCGGGTTTACCAGGAGAAAAGGGCAACAATCTCGCTTGTAGTTTCTGCAATGTTTCCACACAGTATCAGAGTTGACAGTATTGCCGCAGTTTAACAATTCTGCTTAGTTTATGCCTTCGAAAAGACGCAGTTCTTCAACATGACAATGCTCACCCATGCACGAGTAGACAAACAATGGCAGCACTGCAGCGTCTCAAATTTGACAATGTTTTGGCGCATCAAGTCCTGATTTAGCCCTGTATGACTTATTTTTTCCATTACCAAAACTCAAAAAACACCTCAAGGGAAACAGATTTGCTTCTAATGCAGATATGCATTCCTGGTTTTGTGAAAAATCATCCAACTTTATTTCTCGGCCAGTTTTGAAAACCTGTTTCAAGCTGATGTGCATGTGTGTGAACGTGCTGGTGATCACGCTGAAAAATAATGGCACCTTACTTAAAAGAAATTCCAAGCTTATGGAAAAATGTATGTTTTATGTATACATTATGTATTTTAACAAAGTAATATCCTTGGAGGCATTTCTTTTCAAACCATCCCGGTAAATAAAGCACAAACTTTAATAAACAAGCAACCGTTACATATGAGTGCCTGTGCAGAATTGAGGCAATTAACTGGTATGACGGAATCACTAATATCATTCTTAGAGAGAGAACTAAACAAAACTCTACTCTCTTCTTCTTCTATCCTTCCATCTGAAAACATATCAGGATAACTGCAGCTTTGATGACAGCTACAAGGTAGTCCACATCTCTCCATGTACCATACAGCTTTCACTAGAGATGAGGAAAAGATGCCACTGGATAGGGCATATACTGAGAAAATATAACAAGAATGTTCTTGCAATACGACCTACATGGTCAAAGGAATAAAAACAGGCCCAAAACACACATGAAAAGGAGAATTAGAGAGTGAAGTGAAAAATATGGAGAGCCCATGTGACAGCAAATGGTAGGATAACTTGGCACGAGTTGGTGGACACCCTATGCTTCATTAGGGAATAAAGAGCAACAGCAGAAGAAGAAGAAGAAAAGGATCATCAGAAAAAAAAAAAAAAAACCTGGAGAATACTTATGCATTTTTTTTTTAATGGCCAAGTGGATGCAGGTAAATCATCACTTTGTTCAAACTGTTAAACAAATGTCGAAGAACACAAGTGTAAAACAAAAGTGTACCTTTGAACACTTCTTTTTATTATAAGGGGGAGCCACCATGGATGCAGCTAGATGCTTGCCTGCGGGTTTGTCGGTTCAAATCTCAACAAAGTCAGACTTGTAAAAAAAACCTTGCTTCCAGGTCAATCCAGCCTAAAATGGGTACCAGGCAAAAGTTCTGGAAGTAAAGACGGAGGACATGATGATGCTGATCACATACGCACTCAGTGGCCTATGAAATATAGGTCCAACATTATATGCCTGAACACACAGAAAAGAGTCGTATTATCAAGAGCCAGATTTCGCACTCCTAACTTGTCATATTTTGCAGCACATTATTCCACCATTCATTAACTGCTGATTTTAAACAGAATAAAAGGCTAGTTAAGTCCCAAGCCTTAAACTCATGACAAGATTGGTTAAAGAAATGAAATGTCTCAAATAGCCTAAATGACATGAGTCTGTACTGAAGCTCCAGGTGTAATGCTGACAATCACTCAACAATGAGGTCTAGTGTCACATTCTTAACAACAGCAATACCATTATTATCAGAACTCTTCGCTGGCTGCTGAAGATGGGGACGGAGCACTTATGAGAATGCCCCGAATGCTGTGATGTGGGTCCTTGAATCAAGTCAAATCTTAACAATAAAAAAGTGATGAACTGACATGAACAGCCAGAATGTTCGTGTTTTCATTCACACTAAAGTGGCCAACTATTCAAGTCTAGTGTCTTGTAATCTTAAGAATCTTATCCTAAAATTAGTCCTCATATACTTGCATCTTTACAAAGCAACAGAATCTTATCCTAAAATTAGTCCTCATATACTTGCATCTTTACAAAGCAACACAATCTTATCCTAAAATTAGTCCTCATATACTTGCATCTTTACAAAGCAACACAATCTTATCCTAAAATTAGTCCTCATATACTTGCATCTTTACAAAGCAACAGAATCGTATCCTAAAATTAGTCCTCATATACTTGCATCTTTACAAAGCAACAGAATCTTATCCTAAAATTAGTCCTCATATACTTGCATCTTTACAAAGCAACAGAATCTTATCCTAAAATTAGTCCTCATATACTTGCATCTTTACAAAGCAACAGAATCTTATCCTAAAATTAGTCCTCATATACTTGCATCTTTACAAAGCAACACAATCTTATCCTAAAATTAGTCCTCATATACTTGCATCTTTACAAAGCAACAGAATCTTATCCTAAAATTAGTCCTCATATACTTGCATCTTTACAAAGCAACACAATCTTATCCTAAAATTAGTCCTCATATACTTGCATCTTTACAAAGCAACAGAATCTTACTGGTGTCTATTACTATCATCACAAAGAGTAACAGTATCCTCACAAGTAAAAACTGTGAACAAATTAGTTCGTTAATGAGGCTTGTCTATTTAGTGTTTATACCGCTCTCCTGCTTTCGAGTACAAGACTGAACACTTTTGGGGGGTGCCGTTTTCACAATGAAGTCTGGTTGCATCAGGTATGTGCATCCACTGCTGTCTTTGGAAATACTACATGGTGAGGTCTTACTCAGCCCTTTTTTTCCCACAGGGACTGTAGTACCAATGTCTAAAACCCAAAAGAAGTCTTCAGAAACTCTAAGGAGAAGCAAGCGCACAACAGGAGTCTTGCCAGAAGAGGTCCACATTCTCTGAATGTTTCGGACTCTTTACCTTCCTGACACTCTCTGGAGGTGGGGTGGGCCAACCCGGGTTTTGTTCTCGTCTTGTGCGGTTAAGTCTTGCCAATACTAAGGAAAACTTAAGTTTACAGCTCTTTACACACCAACCATCTTGATTGTCACTAAGATTTTATCTTCAGGAGCCACTCTGGCCTTGAGAAGGCAACCCATCTGTTCTCTTCTGCCTCATCAGCGTGTCACTGCACTCCTCACCAGGCAGGAGTCAGCGTTGATCTTTCTGCCAATTAGTATTCATGACTATTGAGCCACCGGTTCGCTAATCTCTAATTATTGATTACTGTTATAATATATATCCACATGCTTGGCATCCTTTCATTGTGAGAAATCATAAAACAAAATTGCATTTAATAATAGCCATTCGTGTCTTTTACTAATGTTTAAATTTTGACATAGCATCATAAGGTTGAGGATCTTGCAGATATTTAGGGTCTTTCAAAATAAATGGCATAAATCCACTGAGCCTAGCACGTTTGATAAGCTGAGAAACACGATTCTGCATAGGTATGCATAGACCTGTTATCTGGCGGCCGTAAATACGCCCAGTGAAGGGAGAAACAAACTGACTCAGCAACCTTATGTTTTTGTGGTCAACCTCGATATTGTATCTGCAAATGAAGCAGCGATGGTAGTCCTTTTCAAAGGGGTCTGGCGAGGAAGCGACGGGCAGGTCCCCTTCCATCTTGTTGAGAAGTTCCTCAACTAATGCAGGGTTGAATTCATTTGCACACGAAGGAACCTGTGTGTCGCTTTTTTCTGTTGGAGTATTCTGGCCACGGGAGTTGAATTTTCCGGCTACCCGACTGTAAAAGTTCACCGAAGAAAGCGAATTTACATTTGGTACAGCCCAGGCTAGCAGTCTGATGTCTTGAAACAGCTGGCTATTACTTCGCTGTAGGGAAGTAAAACCTTGTAATCTCTGGAAATGTATGTTTTTCAACGCAATTGTGACCTGATCTGTTCGTCCTCTGAGCAGGACACAGCGTACATGCTTCACAAACGCCATTTTCAAACCGGAAGTATACGGTCGGGATCGTCTTGTCTGTTGAAGATAAATAAGGTATTCACCTTCTTCTACTGTTTTCATCAGCTACTGAGTGGCCTATTGGCTCGCCGTTAAACGACTTTGTCGCCGGTCGGGACAGTATTTTGGACTGTCTCCTTTAATCGCATCAACACTGCAGGACTCATTTTCAGGGCTTTTGTGGCGTGCAGTGCTAAGCCATTTTATGTGGTGCACCTTTGAGGATGCTGGTTGAACATGACGTTTGTTTTCACCCAGGCAAAGCACATACGTATTAGTGAGGAAATGAGGACGTCCTTGACGAACGTTGACGAGCGAGGCCAGAGACGTCGAACTGTATTCCATCCATGATACATAAAGGGTTTTACAATAGTCTGAAATAGACTACAAGAGCTGTGCGACATTTAATGGCACAGGTGGCTCATGATGATGACTGATGATGATGACGACAATCATTTGCTCAGTGTAGCACTGGGTGAAATGATGAGGATAATCATTAGCTTAATGTACCACTGGGTGAAATGATGAGGATAATCATTAGCTTAATGTACCACTGGGTGAAATGATGAGGATAATCATTAGCTTAATTTACCACTGGGTGAAATGATGAGGATAATCATTAGCTTAATTTACCACTGGGTGAAATGATGAGGATAATCATTAGCTTAATTTACCACTGGGTGAAATGATGAGGATAATCATTAGCTTAATTTACCACTGGGTGAAATGATGAGGATAATCATCAGCTTAATGTACCACTGGGTGAAATGATGAGGATAATCATTAGCTTAATTTACCACTGAGTGAAATGATAAAGATAATCATTTGCTCAATGTAGCACTGGGTGAAATGATGAGGATAATCATCAGCTTAATGTACCACTGGTTTAAATGATGAGGATAATCATCAGCTTAATGTACCACTGGGTTAAATGATGAGGATAATCATCAGCTTAATGTACCACTGGTTTAAATGATGAGGATAATCATCAGCTTAATGTACCACTGGTTTAAATGATGAGGATAATCATCAGCTTAATGTACCACTGGTTTAAATGATGAGGATAATCATCAGCTTAATGTACCACTGGGTGAAATGATGAGGATAATCATCAGCTTAATATACCACTGGGTGAAATGATGAGGATAATCATCAGCTTAATATACCACTGGGTGAAATGATGAGGATAATCATCAGCTTAATGTACCACTGGTTTAAATGATGAGGATAATCATCAGCTTAATGTACCACTGAGTTAAATGATGAGAATAATAATTTGCTGAATGTACCACTGAGTTAAATGATGAGGATAATCATTAGCTGAATGTACCACTGAGTTAAATGATGAGGATAATCATTAGCTGAATGTACCACTGAGTTAAATGATGAGAATAATCATTAGCTTAATGTACCACTGGGTGAAATGATAAGGATAATAATTTGCTGAATGTACCACTGAGTGAAATAATAAAGATAATCATTTGCTCAATGTAGCACTGGGTGAAATGATGAGGACAATCATTTGCTGAATGTACTGGTGGCAGAGCACTTATGGTTTATAACTGTGTGCAATGACGTTGGTTGACATTTCCCGACTTTACATTTACCTTTACCACTGGGTGAAATGATGGGGATAATCATTTGCTCAGTGTAGCACTGGGTGAAATGATAAGGATAATCATTTGCTCAATGTAGCACGGTGAAAGGATAAGGATAATCATTTGCTCAATGTAGCACGGTGAAAGGATAAGGATAATCATTTGCTCAATGCAGTACGGTGAAAGGATAAGGATAATCATTTGTTCAGTGTACCACTGGGTGAAATGATGAGGATAATCATTTGCTCAATGTACCACTGGGTAAAATGAAACGGATAATCATTTGCTCAGTGTAGCACTGGGTGAAATGATGAGGATAATCATTTGCTCAGTGTAGCACTGGGTGAAATGATGAGGATTGTCATTTGCTCAGTGTTCCACTGGATGAAATGATGAGGATAATCATTTGTTCAGTGTATCACTGGGTGAAATGATGAGGATAGTCATTTGCTCAGTGTTCCACTGGGTGAAATGATGAGGATAATCCTTTGTTCAGTGTATCACTGGGTGAAATGATGAGGATAGTCATTTGCTCAGTGTTCCACTGGGTAAAATGATGAGGATAATTATTTGTTCAGTGTATCACTGGGTGAAATAATGAGGACAATCATTTGCTGAATGTACTGGTGGCAGAGCACTTATGGTTTATAACCGTGTGCAATGACGTTGGTTGCATTTCCCGACTTTACATTTACCTTTACCACTGGGTGAAATGATGGATATCAATCATTTGTTCAGTGTTAGTTAGTTAGTTAGTCTTTCATCTTGTGTCGAGTGCGGCACATAGGGCAGAGGTCATGACTCTCCATGCATGGCGGTTCGTTGCAATCTGTTGTAGGTCTTGGAAGTTTGAGTGGCCCATGAGCGAGCCTTCCCTGATGATAGTTCTACGTAGAGTTTCCCTTGGTCTTCCACGAGATCTTTTCCCCTGTGGTGTTTAAATGAGGGCTTGGTAAGGAAGTCTTGATTTATCCATTCTAAGGGCGTGGCCGACAGTGTAGCAGTGGTAAAATTATTAGGATAATCTTTTGATCAATGTACCACTGGGAGAAATGATGAGGATAACAATTCGCTGAATGTACCGTGGATGAAAAAAAAAAATTCCTTTCATTGGCATCTGGTTTTTTTCCCCTTGATAGTGGTGATCTAAAGCAAGACTAGTCAATTCTTTCCTTCTTTCTTTCTTTCTTTCTTTCTTTCTTTCTTTCTTTCTTTCTTTCTTTCTTTCTTTCTTTCTTTCTTTCTTTCTTTCTTTCTTTCTTTCTTTCTTTCTTTCTTTCTTTCTTTCTTTCTTTCTTTCTTTCTTTCTTTCTTTCTTTCTTTCTTTCTTTCTTTCTTTCTTTCTTTCTTTCTTTCTTTCTTTCTTTCTTTCTTTCTTTCTTTCTTTCTTTCTTTCTTTCTTTCTTTCTTGCCTGCTTGTTTGATTTCTTTCTTTCTTTCTTTCTGACCTTCCTTCTTACTTTATCTTTCTTTCTTTCATTGATTCTTCCTTTTGCTAATGTTGTTTGTGTTTCTCTACGTGATTGTAATCTGCAGGATTAATATCGTAAGGATGAGAATCAAACAGGTACAAATCCCGGGAACCTTGTTCAAGCGTAAAATCATGTAGCACAGAAACACTGGGGCACCACAAAACGGTTACCATGTAACCAGTAGTCCAGTGTGTGTGGTTTGTGACTAATCTAGTTTAAAAACAACAACCATGTTTTCCTTGTCTGTAACATCCATTTATTGTACTATACCGGAATGCATAAAACAAAAGAGTGGCAATACAAATCAATGACCATTGAACATCTACAATAAATATTGCAACCTTATTGATCCGGTTTAGTTCGCCTGTATTTGATTTTACTGCAGGATCGATAACAGTCAATCCCTGTTGTATAGTTTTTGTTTCGTTTTTTTGTTACCGGGTTTTCCCCTCCAGAAGTGCTGTCTGCAGATTAACTGAGCAAGGATGACATTCAAACAGCTAGAAATTCCGGAAATCCGTTCAACCGTAAAGTATGGTCATATAAGGACACCACAAAACAGTTACAAAGTAACTTGTAGTCCAGTGTGGGTGAGTTGTCGTATAGTTTAGACTGGTGTTCTTCCACGTGGATTTCTATTAACCTCTCCTGGTCTCTGGGTAGTAAGATAGGATGCCCGTGTGTATTGTTGCGCATGTAATAAAAAGCCCCTGGCTGTTGGAAATCAAAAATTGTAGCCCAGCGACGCTGCCTATGTAAAATTTAGAGTAGAAAATCTACCCAAAGTAGTTCAGGATCATCGCCGGTGCTACGGAGTTCGTGCACTGTGCTTTGATTCTTTAGACTCAGGCTTGAGTTAAAAGTAGAACGGATCACTTATGGGCTTGTGCCATGATGTTGATCCGTTGTTCAAACCATAGTTTTGACCGTGCTAATGTCACTCATTTGTTGTTGTTCGTCTTCTTATTCTTCTTCTTCTTCCTTCTATCTTTCACCCCACGCTGGAGCCTAAGTACCCAACCGACTAGAGCCAGACTTTCCCGTGACCAACCATGTCACACAACTGAATGCATGCAGAGGTGCCGAAAAGAAAAAAAACAGGGGGGTTGGTTGTCCGGGGGGGGGGGGCGACTGGGACCTCAACAAGCTTACAAGTTTTTTGTGTAGGGGCCTCTCTGCGAACCTAAAAATGATTTAAGTGAGTAAAGGTAATACAGTAAAAATAATAATAATAACAATCAGGTCTTTGTCAGATATGACTGAGCTACCGTATAATAGCAGCCGGTACCACCTGTTTTCTGTTACGCCGAATGTTGGGCGGCATATACTAACCCAACATCCCATATTGTGCCAACGGCTTCGGGCGGAGGAGCCCATTGGGGGAGGATACTAGCCTTATTCTAGGAAGAGGAAATGCAACCTGAAAACTTTATGTTATGGCAGGGGAGACCAGGCCCTTTCGCCTTGGCTGGCAGCTGGTCAAGGAGGGAAGCTTCGACAGGCGGACAGATAGAGCACTGCTCTTCTGATCCGGCAGCTTTTGCAACCTGCCTCGTTCCAAACGTACTGATTTACCTTTCCTCTGGAGTAAACAAGGAAAGTCGAAGGAGGGATCATTATTCGTGGGCAACATATGGTCTCTGCTATACTGCTATACAGGCTTTGTGTTATGGGGTGCCATAGACCGTTTTGTGTGGGAAGGGCATATCAGGAAAAGAATGAGACTGAAGAAATAAATAATTACAGAAAGGATGAAAGCTGAGCGTCTGAAAAGAAACGGGTTAAACACAAATCTTGACAACAATGGTCCTGAAATCCCATGCTATCATTGTGGAAGACTTTTCTTGACACGGGCGGGTCTTGCTAGTCACACTCGCCATCGCCATGGGCTGTGAGTCTCATGCCTCCTCATAGCACAATATAACACTATCGTCTGGAAAGACGGAAAGGTGCCAATGAATGAATGAATAATAATAATAATAATAATAATAATAATAATAATAATAATAATAATAATAATAATAATAATGTGTTCAATGGCAGCAACAACAAAACAAAAAAATGAATTTTGCTGGGAGAGGAAGGGGACTCAATGTGTCTGAGCACACAGATTTATGTGCCCCTGACTACACGTTCTCTATAACCTATTCATCTGTCTCCAACTCTCCTGTCCGAATGCCTATTTCAACCCCCACCCATCCCCCATAACCCTGGCCCCGGGAATCCCAATCAATTACACCCTAAGCCAGTGATTCTTAACCTTTCTAATGCCGCGACATCGCAAGAAACTACAACCTAAAAAACCCTAGAATTTATTGGGATTGTCTCCCGTGACGTAGTCGTGACGTCAGGGGTAAGTTATAAATTAAGTACCGTTCCTTATGTTATGGCGACCCTTTAATACAGCTCTTCGTCTTGTGGCGACCCCCAACCATATAGTTATTTCCGTCGCTACTTCATAACTTCAGTAAATTTTTGTTTAGCGATGGTCTTTGTCGACCCTTGTGAAAGGGTCGTTCGACCGAAAAAAGGGTCGCGATCCATAGGTTGAGAACCACCACCCTAAACTATGCCACTACCAAGCTTACCGTGACGCTGACCACATCACCCATCTTGTGCCGATTGGTCTATAAAAATATAGGTCTGGCCCTATATGCCCTATACGCATGAAGTCGTGGAAAAGGGTCCTTTACTTTTACTTTCAACACAGCCTTGTTTCTAGACTCACGGGAATTTCTACATACCACCCCCAACCCTCTTCCTTTCCCATTAGTACGAGTTTGTAGAGCATTCACTTTTCGCTCGTCAAGTTGGTGTTTTATTGATACCTAACGGTTTTTGCTACTGGTAAAAAAATTTATTTGGTGTGTTCAAGATTCCACCCATCCATCAATAATATCGAAATTTGATTGCGCAGGATAAAGCTTAATGTAAGGTTAGATTGTCAGCCCTCTGTGATTATAAACAAGACATAGAACATGACGATGTTGATCTTAAAGTGCTTTGAAACAGATTTCTTCAACCGGTAGGCAGAGTCTAGTGTTGGGCCGCGGAAAATTATAGGTGGCCCGTCAAAATTCAATAAATAAATAAACATACAGGCCGAGTGAGGGATCATGCTGCACAGGCAACACATAGGCTAGTCTCCGAATATTGCTAAGGTTTTATACGTGGACAGCAACAATTGTATCCCTGCTCTTCACTGGCTGTGATCCCCATGCCTCACTATAACACATTAAACGCTCGACGGACACCTTGAAGTCTTCACTGAAAGCGTTTGGAATTAATGACACCAATTGGGAGGCTGCCTCTCAAGACCGAAATGCATGGCGTGCAACTCTACACAAGGGCGCGGTTACATGTGAAGCAAACAGAAAAGCAAGACTTATTAAGAAAAGGATGGACAGAAAGGCAAAAGATCTCCTCCCTGGCACAACGCTCATTCCCTGTCCTCACTGTCCAAGAACTTTTCGGGCCCTCGTCGGCCTCATCAGTCATCTTCGTACTCATACTTGATGAAAAAGGGTGGTCATCATCATCTTGATGAACAACACACATAATTCAATACAAAATCATCGCATGGAAAGACGGAAAAGCGCCAAGAAACGAAAACTAGTTTTGCATCAAGTAGTCACAAATCATGGTTTATTTTTTATGTTTCCAAATTCAAAGCGGTTGTATCACAAGATAATGTTTTGACAAATAGTTTCATAAGTGATTGTCTCAAACTGTCAGAAATTTCTTAGTATTTTTCTGGTAGTTATAATTCAATCGAGCAATCTCAAAATTTCCCGGTTTGTGTCTAAAGTTTACTGTACGTTAAAACTGGACAATGTTTGTCAGCGTTTGTCAAGTTATTAGCATTTCAGAACTTCTTAAATATGTCTGAATGATCTGAGATATGTCAGAAATCCTTAATTATTTCAAAATTATTGGTTATTTATGTACAATATTTCTTTCGCCGAAATCTCCGAAATTATGTCAAACTTTTCTTTCGTCAAAATTTCCGAAATTATGTCAAACTGTTTCTTTCGTCAAAATTTCCGAAATTATGTCAAATTGTCTTTCGTCAAAATTTCCGAAATTATGTCAAATTGTCTTTCGTCAAAATTTCCGAAATTATGTCAAACTGTCTTAAGTTAATTCAGGATTGTCTTTCTTATAAAAATGATTCAGTAAGTTGATGGGGATCGGGAAAATGATGGTGGAATTCTTCTCTGCAGAAATACTGCTTAGGGTTTGGAGATATCGAAGCTGCAGAGCAGCTGGAGCCGTGCTGATAACGTCAGCCGCTTGCCTCAGAGCCACAGATGCCCTCTGCTCACCTTCAGCAGCAATCACCTGAAGAAAATAACAACATAACGTCAGACAGTCATCAGCTTATGTCTTAACTCACCATTATTGTGTATATTCTTCATCTCTTCTTCGATCCTTCTGCCGGCAGTCGATAGGAGACTCGCTTTCAAATCCAGCTACGGAGTTTCGTGCGTTAAAAGCATAAGACAGCCACAAGAAGTGCTAACACAAACAGTCCGACAATAGAAATGTCATCAACGGATGCAGCAGTTACTCACAGATCAGCAGTTGCACACGTGATCAGTTTTAATCATAAAAGTCACGACCAGTTCTGAGGCAAAAGGCCACGCCCCATTTTCTGAATCTGCAGTTCACAACACCACGTTGGTCACAGTCGAAAAACACATGAAATCCTCAGCTCACAGTGTCGCGCCATGCACTCAACTTTGTAGCTGTCTGACAAAACTATATCCTTTCAGTCTAAAAATGGAGGAAAATGCAACGGCCACCGTCTGTCAAAAGCACAAAATGGGCCGCGACTAAAAACTGACCGTGCCTATCGACCACTTTGACTGGAATTTCCAGACAGTTGTTGTTAGTCACTCTTTCTGTCCCTGGCATCCGCATCATGCGTCTGTTTGTATGTCCGTCTCGTCTTTCCCTTGAGTGTTGAGCGTCTGTTAGATCCCCTGTTAACTCCCTGCAGCACCATTCTCCTCAGACAGTAATGATCTATTTGTGTCTCCACACTGTTCACTGGCTCCCGAAGGACCCAGCCAACATCTAGCTGGTAATACATCAATTCACCACCAAGTAGTGCAGAACCGCCCAGTCTATCTGTCTGCTCGTTTCCCAACACACCCGCATGACCTGAAGAAAATATTCAATGGAGGCTGACTATCAAAATTGTAGAAACACGAAGCAGGATGAGTTGTGGCACTGACTGCGATAGAAGGAATGAATATAACAGAAAAACGAAGAAGACAGTCAGTGTATATGGTTTAGAGAATCAATAATAAAGGTATTGTGATCTGCAGGATTTGAAAGGGTTTGTTTCGTTTTTATTCTTCCAATTTTTTTTTCTGCTTGCAGTCCATACAATATGGCGTTGCTAAACATGTTTCTCTACAACCTGTCACCTGCACACTTATTAGATTTTAATCCTGTTCAGACATAGCCCATCAGGAGAAGAGGAGAGAAAGAAGAAGAAGAGAGAAGAAGGAAAGAAAACGAAATAATGATAATACGATGATGATGACGAAGGCGATGATCATGATAATGATGAGAAAAAAAAATAATCACCTTGGCTCTAGCGTCCCGAGCCGCTTCAGCCTCAGCCGCCATGGCTCTCTGCAACTGTGTGGGCAGACGGACATCCTTTCTACAGTGACACACAGATATTAAAGTTAGTTGCGTATCACTTACAGCACGTTGCAGAACCAACCCCATCATATTTTTGGCTGTTGTGGTTTTTGTAAGTTTATTTTACTTTCAGAACGGTCAGCTCTCGGTACCACTGTTGAAACCAAAGCAAGACAAATCGTCCGCAGCTGGGATCGAACCCGCCACCCCGGCATTACGAAGCGCGTTTGCAAGGCCTAAGCCACAGACGCCGACTGAATATATTTAATATTGGTAATAACAAACAACTTATATATTTTCCGGGACGCAGGAGTTTGAGGGTACGAAAGAACGGATTTGTTACAAAAGCAATAGCTACGGGAACATTCGTACTAGACACGGGATATACTTTAAAGACCAGATATTGGCTAACTCCTCCCTCCCTCTTTAGAGACTCGGTGTACGCTGTTGTGACTGTTGGCGTCTACTCCGCCCATCTCCCAGACATACTGACCCCATTTTTCGCTTCCCGTCCGCGCGTTGGTGTTATAAAGGTGACCTGTCCTAGACATCGTCAACTCTGGATGATAAAGGTGTTTCGCCCTTTTTAGATCACAATTTTTTTTTTATTTGAAGCCCCACCCTGGCTTTTGCCAGGGACCCCAATATAGGCAGGCCATAAATATGGCCAATTGTCTGAACGCGGTTTCTGGGACCTCTCCACGGCGATCCTCATCCACATTGTGGCACTTTGTGTCATCGGGTGTTTATCGCTTGTGTTATGTCCGAGTGGGGTAGACAGTCAGTCGGTCAGTCAGTCATCGTCTTGAACGAAGTTCTTTCGCCAGGGACACACATGAGTATCATTTATTTTGTACATTAGAGTTCTATGTAGTCACTTCATAGTTAGAGTATATTTGTGTATGTGTACTGTGTTTTTCTTTATGTGCTGATGAAGGCTAATCGCCGCAAAGTCCTTTGTTTATTTATTGTGATTGATTTTGTGAAGCTAACATAAACTATTCGTTCTTTCTTACCTACTTTTTCCCTTCTCTATAATTGTCTACTCCTTTTAAAAGACCAGATATGAACGAATGTTGACAGGAGACACGAGATTATATGAATTAACATTTGCAACAATCTGAGTCCGAGGTATCAGAAGTGGATCCGCCAAGGAGGGACGTATGAGATTAAGAGAACGACTTGTGTATAATCAGTGTGCTATGAGAACAGCATCTACACCTTAATACATTTGCTGCGGGGGACGGAGCATCTATGGGTATGTCCAGTGTGCTATGATGTTGATTTAAAAAAAACCAAGATGAGGGGAGGCTCTTCAAATAGAAGAAGTATCACACGGTGTGGAGAAAGCCGTAAGGAGTCCGGATCGTTGACGTACCTCCTCTCAGCTAGGAAAACCTCCAGAATTGGCACCTGGAATGTTAGAACTTTCTATGATATAGGAAGAACAATTGAAGTAGCAAAGGGAGAATGTCTTTGTACTGGAACCCACAGAGGCATATGAATAAGGGAAGACCAACAAACTCATGGAGAAGAGAGCTGAAGAATGAAGTTAGAAAGATGGGGAGGACATGGGGAGAGCTCCATGCAATGGCGAAGGACATAACGACTTGGCGTGAGTTAGTTGAGGGTCTATGCTCCATTGGGGGATAGAAAGGCGGAAGAAGAATTAGTAACAAATAACTTTCATTATAACAGTAATTTAAAAAAAAAACTTTTTCGGTGTCTAAGCTATTTTTTAGTAAAGCCAAAATCGCTTGGTTGAAAAAATTACTACATATTTTTCATTTCCGCTGTCTACTAATTCGACAAACTGTGAGCTTCCTTCGAATTCGGAGTGCATCTGCCTGAGAGGCAAGGAACCAACAGTCTGCACACATATGAGCCAGATCTGTCAAACGGATGCACACGTTACACTCAGGTTCTAAAATAGGACTGCAGCCAAGAAGTGGACGAACAATCAGAATTTGCCGCCGGTTTAAAGCCGGTAAATGCGAAGAAGAAAACGAAGAAGATGTCCGCTGTTATAACTGCCAAAGTCTATCAGGCTTGGGATCTCAGAAGTCTGCTTTATGGCAGTGAAACTTGATAAACTTATTTACAGCAGAAGAGATGGCTATATGCGGTCTCTAAAAAGAATACTTGGCATTAAGTAGCAAGACAAGATCACAAACATTTAAGTACTGGAAAGAGCAGGTACTACAACAGTCTTCTCAATGCTCAATCTAAGAACTCTCAGGTGTCTAAGTCACACCTGGAGAATGGAGGATGGCAGAGTCCCTGAGGACATCCTTTATGGTGAACTAACGACGGGTAAAAGATGTTGAGGCCGACCTCGACTACTATATACAGAGTGTGGAAGCGGGACATGAATGATACAGGTATTGAGGTGGACTCGTAGGAGCAAAATGCCAAGGTTCCTGTTGTGTGGAGGGCGCACGTCAGGAAGGGAATGAGAATGAAGGAAGAAATGATTGCAGAAAGGATGCTACCTGAGCTTCCGATAAACAAAATAATTAAAGACTAAACACAAATGTTCGACAACAACGGTCCAGAATTCCTACGCTATAATTGTGGAAGACTTTTTTTATTTTACGCGGGTGGGTCTTGCTAGTCACCCTCGCCTTCACCATGGGCTGTGAGTCAAATGCCTCATCAAAGCGCAATATAACACTATCTTTTGGAAAGAGGAAAAGGTGCCAATCAATCAAATCATAACTGCCAAATTTCACTGTCTCAGCTGTGAAATTGTCAAAATTCTCCCATCTCAGATATGAAAATATCACAACTCTATGTTTCTATGTCAGCTGAAAAGTTATTAAAGTTCTACTGTTTTTGCCGAGACTACCAAAGATCTACGATGTCAGCTGTGAAACTATCATAACTCTACATTACTATCTCAGCTGTGAAATTATCATAGCAATGGCAAACTACTGAAAGTAAAATTTGCCTAGAAAAACCACAACAGACAAAAACTGTCGGGTTGGTTCTACAACGTCATGTAAAGGATACGCAACTCACTTAACTATCTCAGCTGTGAGCTCTACATTATTATCCTAGCTTTACAATTATCCAATCCCTCACTACTTTTTTAGAATCAGCCGCTGTAGTTTAGACGTTGCTTCGCAGTGCTGGGGTGCCAGGATCGATCGCAGCAGAAGACAGCCCTGCCTTGGTTTGACCGACGCCTTCGAAAATTACAGGCCCTGAAACTTGACTGGTGACGTCACTTCCCGAGGCAAACAAAATGGTTGTATCAGTGTGTGTTCGGTTTTATTTTTCTTGTGAAAGTTTTTAATGTGGTTTAATTTTCACGTCTGATTCACCTAAAAGCGGTATTTCAGGGAGTAGATTTAGTAAGCAATTTCTGCAATTTACGTTGGATTTATCGTCAGTGTGTTGGTTTTCGAGGAACTATGCCTGCTAAATGTTCTGTACCCGAGTGTCGTTCAAATTATGACCTTTCTAGTGGATATGTAAGTTGCTTCAGATTCCCTTCGAATTCTCTTTTAAGAGACAAATGGCTGAAACATATTCCACGGAAAAATTGGACTCCTGGGAAAACCAGTGTAGTATGTATAAAACATTTTCGTACGTCAGATATTATTGTGTCTGATAAATATACAGACAAATCTGGAATCGAGCATATACTCCCAAGAAAGAATCCCGCTTTAAAAAAAGATGCTTATCCAACTATCTTTCCAGATCTTCCATCCTATTTATCGGTGAAAGTACCAGCCTCTCGCAAAACTCCAGAGGAACGTGTATCACATATTAATCGTAATTACGATCGAAAAGTGAATGATTGGCTGTCCTCAGATATCATTACAGATTTCCAAGATCTGGAGTCACAGATAGGAAACAAACTGAAAGGACACTTTGAAAAAAATTGGAAATACACTTCTGTAGATGGAGCTTTAGCATGTATTGTTTTGTATGTCATTACCATACAGTCAGACTCTGCACCATCCATAGGTGTCAGCATAAAGGTGTTACTTGATATGACTATACAAGTCTTTGTTCAAAATAAAAAAGTTAAAGACAAAGACCTTAAATGGATTGTAGACAACAATAAACTTGTGAGATGGTCACAGCTTGAAAATCTTGTAATTCATTACAATGCCTGGGATTATAGTAAAAATTCATAGCCAAAATAGCTTCACAGATTTAGTGGAAGAAGCAGGAAGTATTTTGAAGAGTGCTGCAGAGCAACAGTGGACTCCTAATGGGACAGCTGATGAAGTAACTGACACACAAGTAAACTTTCTTGCAGAGCAGCTGCAACTTTTAACCGTGTTAAAAAACAGAAGGCGTTACAGTTGTAGCACATTATGTTTCGCTTTCATGCTGTTCATTAAATCTCCAGCATGCTACCGGTTTATAAGAAAATCTCGTATGTTGTGCCTGCCTCATCAAAGAACACTGCACAATTTAACTTCACAGTTGTCATTGTCTACTCATACTGGCAGCATTTCACAGTACTTGAAATTGAAACAAGACAAACTGACAGAGCTAGAAAAGATTGTAGTAGTTCAGATGGATGAAATATATGTTAAATCTGCAATTACTTACTCTGGGGGCAAAATATTTGGCAATGCAGACAATGCAAAAGAAGCAGCAACAACAGTGCAGGCTTTCCTCATATCTTCAGTTTTTTGGAAGCTACCAGGAAATTATAGAACTTTCACCTGTGAACAGAATGACATCTCAGGATCTACGTTTGAAATTACTCCACTGTATCCACTTTGTACAGCAGTGTGGTTTCACAGTGGTTGCTGTAATTGCAGATAATAGTGCTGTCAATCGAAGAGTTTACAGTGATCTCCTGAAACCAAGCCAAACTTTTATTGAGAACCCAGATTTTGCTGATAAAAAAATATTTTTACTGCATGATTCTGTGCACTTGCTAAAATGCATGTGGAGGAACTGGATCAACCAGAAGGACACAAACCAGACATTTACTTATCCTTTAATAACTGGACAAATGCTAAACGCCTGTGATACTGATAGAGCTGCAGAAGCTAATTTTTCTCATTTAAAGAAACTGTATTATAGTGAGCAAAAGAATATTGCAAAACTGGCACCTAAACTTTCCCACAAAGCCATCTATCCCTCCAGCATGGACAGACAGAATGTTCCTCTTGCCTTGGCAATTTTTTAATGAATACAATGTTGCTGCTCTGCGTCTAGTAGGCAGTAATGAAACAGCAGATTTTATTGAAGCCATCCTTAGATGGTGGCATATTGTTAATGTAAAAAGTAAATTTGTAGGTAAAAAGACACTGAACTCATTCTCAAATCCTGTATTGTCAAATGATGATGAACAAGTGCATTATCTTGAACAGTTTGCTGAATGGCTAAGAAAATGGGACAAGGTGCCTGGCTGTCAAGGAAAACTGACCAAGGAAACACACAGTGCACTGCTGCATACAGTGACCGCAGTGCTTTCTCTAATCAAATATCTATTTGCAACCACAGAAGCCAGTTTTATACTTCTTGGAAAGTTACAGACTGACAACTTAGAAGCTCGGTTTGGTGAATATCGGCAGTTGTCAGGAGCAAACTACCTAGTATCTGTGCAGCAAGTTTTAGAAGCAGGAAAAAAAACTTAAAGTTTACTCATTGTTAAGTATGTCCTCATCAACTTATGGAGATTTTTCTATCCGTGACCTCTCAGAGTTTCTTAGCAGCAAAGAAGATGAAACTGTGGATGACATAATGACTGATGCTGTTCACCTGGACGTGAACAAGGTTTTTTTTTTCAAATAAACCCAAATGAGTGTGAATTATTGGTTTCGGAAGGTTCAGAGGAGTCACTGGTGTATATTGCTGGATTTGTCTCAAGTAAGCTGAACAAAAAAATTAGGTGTGCTGCCTGCAAGACTTTATTGCAGATGGACAGGCCATTATCAAATGATGTTGACTCAGGTGCAATGTCAACAGACTATATACAGCTGCTTGACCGTGGAGGTTTGAAATACCCTTCAAAATTTATAAATTTAATAACCTTTCTAACATATGCAGCTATGCAGAAACTTATATCAGCTGAGTTAGAAACACAATTTCTAGCCTGCAAACATCACAAAAAATTGCTTATGCATATTGTTTCATGCAGTTTACACACATATTTCAAGGATGAAATAGGTGGTGTCTGTGCTGAGGGTTGTTCTAAAATAAACATTGCTTCCAAAGCGCTGCCATCTCTGGCAAATGTTTTCCTAAATAACTACCGCAAAATCAAAACCGACACATCCTTGCTGGATAAATCATCTAAGAAAAGAAAACTGACCAAATTCACCCCGTAATGGATTTCACGGATTATGTAACTTCAATTTGGACAGCTACGTAGTAAGTAGTTTCTGTTGTGCTTTCTGTTTCTATGTCATATTGTGAATATGTGAATAGTTTCTGTTGTGATTTCTGAAGCCAACATTGTAAAATTAGGGATCGTTATGGGCCAGCAGTCCAAGTCCCAGCTTAAAAAAAGTATTATTTCATTGCAACCAGCAGTGATCCGCGGGCCACTCGCTAGGCCTCAGCAGGCCAAATTTGGTCCGCGGGCTGACTGTTGAATAGCCATGAGCTTACTGCTATACTTTTTGTGGGCTAGTACTCAGGGGACGGCCTGGAACAACAACAAAAAAAAAAACAGATACTGTCTGAGTGAAAAAGTAACATAACGTTAGCCAGCGGCGGTGACGTCACGTCCCGCTGATGACGTCTGTAGCTAGGCCTGTAACTAAAGTTTGGCCATGGTTTGACAGTGGTCGTGAGAGCCGACCGTTTGGTGAGCAATGACGAACTACGGAATGCGAACTTTCCTAGAAAAACCGCGACAACCAACGCACAACAGTTTTAAAACAATTTCGGGTGTGAAATTATTAATTCTTATTGAATGTTGAATTAAGAATCGTCATCCCTGCACTTAGGAC